GTAAGATAGCCTCCATTGCAAAACCCAGAACCCATGGTTATTGTCTTTGTTTACATTTTCTGTTCCCGGTTTTGCACGATGATATTACGCAGCCATTTAGTTTTTTAAATAATTCATTTTGATTGGTTAAAAGGTATTTATTATATTAGATTATCAATTAACATGCGAATGTTAAATAACATTCTAAGTCATTTAAGGTTTCGAAATGACTAATCACTATTCATTTATGTCACGTGGGTCGTTTCAGGTCATTTACCAACACTACTGAGATTGGGATTAAATTTTGTGGTTTAAAAAAAGATTAAAGACCGCAATAACATTTCACCTTTATGCAATTCAAGGCAAAAAATATCCAAAAACGTACGAGAAAGACGACAATATTTACGATTGGCTGATTTGTGGGCACACGTGCTTGATTTATTTGATCTATATATAGTGTCGTTATCGTTATGCGAGAATATCAAATGTCAAAATGGTTCAAAGTTTAAATTTCAGCGGAATTTTTGGTATCTTTAATGTATTTAGGAAACCACAATTGGCTGTTCCACATATTATAGTTGATGGTATTTAGATTCGAATGATATTACAAATTTTTCAAGGGAATACTCGAATTTATTAATTCTATCTATGTGCTTTCAAGATATTCGTGACATAAAATTCGAATTATTAAAAAGAAAAGGCATAAAAGCATTGGCCTTTGATAAAGATAATACCCTTACAGCTCCATATTCAAATGAACTATATCCACAATTTAATGTTAGGTTTTTTTTTTTTTTATAAGAATTGTTGGTTTATAAGAATATTTATATGTAATCCTTTTTTTTTTAAAAAAAAAAAAGAATGCATGGCAAGAATGTAAAAAACAATTTGGAAGTGAAAACATTATTATTATATCAAATTCTGCTGGAACGGCTGATGATCCAGACTTTCAACAGGTAATGCTAACAGTTATTTATGTATTTATAATTGTAGCATGAGTTTACATCTATCTATTATAGGCCAAAAAGACAGAAGATAATCTGGGTGTACCAGTTTTGAGACATAAATTAAAGGTTTGAGATTTTTATTTTTTTTTTTTGTTTGACATTTCAAACTTATATAACTTATTTCAACATTAATAATAATAATCAAATAATTCAGAAACCAGATGGAGGGCCTGAACTTATTTCTCACTTTGCGCATTATCCTCCTGAAAAGATTGTGGTGATTGGGGATCGTTTACTGACTGATGTCGTGTTTGGCAACATGAATGGAATGGCAACTATATTTACAAAACGAATAATTACAGAACAAGGCGATAATAAGATTGCTAATATTGTATATATACATATACTATATATTTGTTTTATTTTATTTTATGAAAATATATTAAGCTTCGATTTAAAACGTTTGATTTATATATATATATGTATATATATATATATATTTGCAGGTACGACAAATAGAATATCAATTGTTGGTCGTACTTCAAACTTGTGGTATTAAACCTCCGCAACATCCTTTATTATCTGATTAACGAATTTGAAATTATGATTAACATAGGTAAGTGCTGTTACTAACTACATATATAGATAATTAATATGTATAATTAGAAAAAAACTATAGGATCATTTACTTAAATATTACCTGCCTTACTTTATCTTTACATATTAAACATTGATGCTTTATATCGATATCGATATTATATAAGTTTATTTAATT